GCAATCGTTTGCAGGTACAGTAGGAATCTGGTACTTCACATGCCTTTAAAAGTGTGTTTTTCAATGTTTTAATTTTGGCACTGTCAGGCCCATCGAAATCCGTTGCATTATACATACATTGAACATGCCTTATCACTTTCGTGGAAATATGATCAATAATTCTCTCACAAGGCTGAAATGTATCATAGTCAGGGTAATCAGCAGGCTTCATCAAATACCTAAGAGGTAAGAGAACATGGACTAATGGAAGAATGTTTGCACTTTCCAGGTTATTGGCTTAGGTGGATGTGTTTTGAGTGGATAATGAGCCATTTGGCATTAGGTTGACGTCCACGTGCCGTTGATGACGGATGTATATTGTTACGATGGAGGGCTTTATCGGTAATAGCAGCGGTGGTGATACAATTTACCTTCTGTACTGGCACATGTGTACCCTGGCTAAAAGCATCCAATTGAGTAGAACTAGACAAGAGGAAATCTGCTTGTGTATCGCAAGGATTACTTACGTCAACGTCTATGGTTACAAAGAACCTAGGCGAGTTGTCACTTCTTTTGACACAGCCAAAAGAATTGATATTAGTAGGTACAGATGATAGTGGAGCTATGTGCATGTTCGGACCTTCTGACTGGCAGTTCTGAGCAGGTCATTTGGATGGTGTGGATTCAACCACATCAAAGGAGCTGGTGTCAGACTTTTTATTGACAGCCAGTGTACCTTAGTAGGTATACATAATACTTGTTTCACAACCTGTACTACTGTATGTCTCCCTAATAAAATCACTTATTACACAAGACGATGAAGAGGTAATAATGTCTGACCTGCACTTATTTAGCTTCTGCGTCAGATCAGGGGAAGGTGCATTACCATGCTGTTTGGTCTCATTAGATCTACGTCATCTGCTGAGGTTTTCAGCCGATAATGAAGCACGACGCTTCGATAGCCTAATTGGCGTCAAATATTCACAGAGATTGGCATTAAAATAATTTTTTAACGAGTTAGGAATAGGAAGCTAAAGTTGATAAGAGTAAGCTACAAAAATCCAGAAAAAATAGCCAGGAGCAAACGATTAAATTAAGCAGATAATTGGTTCGAAAAGAACTGGAAAAATTGCAATTGAGAAGGAAGTTCATGGCTTTCGAAAAGAGAACAAGGCTCCTTAAAATTGTGTGTTTTATGATATCAGCAACCTTAGACCGTAGCATGCGATGGTAAAACAGGCACCGATAGTATTAGTAGAACAGATGAAATGGAAAATTAGTGAAACTGAAATTGAAGTATAATCCATACGACGTCGGTAGGTACCGATTTCTTCCGGTTTCCAGGGTTTCGTGGACAAAATCTCTACGCTAAGAAACTTATGAGAGACAGAATAAATGAAAAGGATGAAAATAAGTGAGAGGGAAACGATATGAAAAGTAGGTCTAAAAATAAGGCTTTTTCTTTGCTTCTTCTGAATATTTTTGTCTTTACTTTATTCCGTTTATCAGTGGTGTAAGAATGAAAAGTGAATGAATATCAAACATATGGCGATCGTTAAATAAGGCCATGGTATATGAGGAATACACCGGTTACCTGTGGTACCTGTGGATATGCTGTGATAAATGGTATCTCCGCCATCGGGTAGAGGCACACGCTTATCCTCCAGGGAATAGTTGTAACGAAGTTCATCTACATTTAATCTGATAACTAGAGTTCAGCCATTTTGCGCACATCAATGGTTGGTAGGACTTCCTTAGTCCAGATTCGCGATAATGAATTCACCACCGGGTTTTCTGCACAAGAAACATGTCGGATGTTCGATATGGGCTGTGAAATGTAGTGCAAGTGACGTAATTTACGTCGGAAGTATCTACCCAACCAAAAGTACTTTATTGAATTTCGTATGCAGACAGCTTTCGGGGGGAAAATCTGGAGTGGTTCAAATATTACTGATGAGCTGTTGCAGAATGGTTCCCGTAGCCGCGTCAAATGCACTAACCGAAATACTAAGCAGATGTTTGATATTTAGACGCACTAAGATTGTCATGGGCGCCGTGAGAATACAGCCTTCGCCCACACCGAAATAAAACCAGATCATTCCAAAGAAACTCGACCATATCCCAAACAAACCGAATGGTTCCGGTTACAACTGGCCGAATCCAAAACGAAACTAAGTGGCTCCGAATAGAAGTGTCAGGAGTTGGTCACACAGTGCTGAAAATGGCTGTATGAGTGAAAATACTGGAGACGGAAAGTCGTGCAATATAATCAGTCAGCATATGCTTGTCAACACCTACCAGCAACTGAAACTGCTACAAAAGATACATACCAGTAGTGCCAATAGTCCCATTGGCCATGATGAAAACCCAGCGAAAAGGATGGCGAAGTCTGATGATAAGGTCCAAGAACCTTCTACTTTAAGTTGTGATAAGTGAACCACTGCCGGCGTGTAGTTGCAGACATGTTGGCCATAGACGCTTTTCTGATGTAGGTGAGATGAAGCTAGATTCTGTCTCACTATCAACCAGGAAACGTATCCTAGAGTTATGGTCTGCGACATAAAATAGGCGATAAGGGAATGGTTCTCCAGCGACGTTAATCGCGAAAACGTGCCGGCTCAAACGTTTCGCAACTAATTACTGTCGAATGTACAGGGACGAGTACACCTTTGTGCATTGACACCTTAACGTCTATGACACCAACAAATATCAGGTTGCGAGGTCCTTGATTTCGACTGTCTGTTTCTGTTGAGTGAGGAAGACTTACTACAAGAGCAATTCGTGCGATTATGTGGAGGACATTTACGTCCAAGCTGTCCCCCTTAGACTACACGGCTCCTGACTCATTTGTTTGATGTCGAAACTGGATGAGTCACTCGTTGAATAGATGTCCTTCTGGTATGCAGAGTTTGTGGATAAGACCATGAAAATGCTTGTGAATGGTCTTGCAGACTTTATAACTCTGTCAGCCGCCTCTGTTAATTCCTTCAGGGGTGACTTGTGGAAGGATACAAGAATTTTTTGCACTGTAATAATAGTAATAATAGCCTTTGCAACCATTACTGTTTTAGGCATGTTCCGTCAATTTTGGAATTAGCAGCTAGCCGTTTCATTTGACAAAAAATTTGTGAGGACTAACAATCTGCAATTGAACGTCTCTGAAGATTTCCTGCACTTTTGTTGGTCAGTAAGCTATACTTTCTTGATTATGGCCAATTGCAGAAAATCGCATAAGTATGAGGAAGAATCGTTCAGGATATCTGAAACGTCTTCCATGACATTTTCAGAGAGAATGACAATTACCGAGTTGGTCTGGCTTTCTTAGGAATGAATACACCGCAAAGAGAACTGGGCTTCAACACGTGAGAACAATGAAGATGGTCGATTTGCCAAAAAATTAGGGATTTGCAGCGTAACTGCTATTTAAGATTCTCTTCAAAATAATTTTCTAAAATACTTTCAAGTTTAACAGCTGATCATATTCTTCCCAAGAGCTTTTCGGACTGTAGACAATAGTTCAGTTGATTACTTAGGTAATTTCTTCTGCCATTACTAGCATAAAGACGCAGAGGTGCTTTCAGCATTCATCGGAAAACAGGAAATAAGCGATTTCTACACAGTTTTTATCCATGAGGTTCCAAAATATGCATCTGATGTATACACCTGTTTCCCATCATAGCAAACAAAGTCACGAAAAGTCAACAGTCAAAGTTACCTGGGATATAGGTAATTGACATTCAGTTTGCGCGGTTTTTGAATGTACTGTGTTACGTCTTCATGATGCTTCCTTGGAACTAAATAATTATGGATTGTAAAACGTCAGTTAATGGGTTTCGCAAAACAGTTTCACATTCTTTCGACCATTGTGGTCCTACTGCGAAGCGCCTTTCACTGAAAACTATCTCTAGTATGTGTTTCAGAAAATTACACATATGTTATAGATTTTAAGATCCTTCCTTCGGCCGCACAAATTTTTCAGGACTCATGCTCGAAGCTGCAAAGTGCAACGAAAGCGGTTTTTCTTAGCGAACCTGTCGAATTGACGTTAGAGGAGCTATATAGGGTTTGTCTTCAGTTTATTTAATTTCATACTGATAGAATGTCGAGGATATATGTGCTCAAAGGATGATAATGGAACTGTATGCAAAGCTGAATGTATTATTCAGTGAATTCGTTTCTAGTTTGCAGCCCCAGTTCCTCAAATATCCTTTTAAATCACTTTGATAAACCATCACTCGTTTTGTAATGTGGTCGTTATAAATGTCATAGACCTCTAAGGATCTGGATAGTATTCAGTTGTACTACTGAAAACCATCCATTTTCTTTACCTAGTAGAGGAGTTGACAGGTTACTGAGATGTAGTTTGGTTTTTTTATTAATAATCAGGCACGAGTATTTTGTTTTCTATTGCTTGCAGTTCCTACTATTAGCAGCACTGAATTATATACATTTTTATTGAATCATCAGCTGGGTGTTAAATCTTCATTAGGTTGCACTTCAGTATTTTGATCAGTCTGCATAAAACTGTTCTGCTACAAGCGAACTATCCAAGCATTTTCCTAAGGACAAAAATCCGGAAAACCTTTTAGTGCGTGGGTATTTGCGCATTTTTGAATTTTCATATTACGGACAAATTAGCAGGCTTTAGATTTATATGAGTCTTGTATTGCTTATTCTTATTCAACTATACCATATTAAATGAACGGTGTTTGACGTTCCTTGTAATGACTAGGGGTCAATGTTTGGTTTTTGCTTATATTGTTTTAGTTTCATATAACTATTAAGTGATGGTTTTCTTTAAGTTTTACCAAATGCCGAATCATTCGCATTCTCAGTATAATGGTGCTGCTTAATCAAGTATAGTTTTCCACTTCTGCTGCTACCTTAACACATTTCTTTCACGGAAGGTTTTCAGCTCAAATCTGTTGCGTACTGTTGGGAGCTATATTGCAAAAAGATGGTCAGTCAAATTATCATATGGTTTATATCTGTAGCTTTTAATCAGAAACATATTTCTTTTTATGGACAGGCAGTTGCTCCTCTTAAATCCACAAAATTTGCAGATATGGTAGGTAAACCAAATAATATTGTATTTGTTTATTTAATTTAGTTGTGATTTGGCTTTTAGTACCTAAAGTGTTTTGTATCCTAGCTACTATGCTGTCAGTGCTAAAACAAGAACTTTGTCTTTTCATTTAAGTTGTCATAAACTTGCTGCACATTTACTGACTTTTGAGGTCGCGCTTTTCGTATTGGTGTGTCTAGAAGTTTTGAATAATACAATCTATTGACGTGTTTGTAAATGTCCGATGAATTGGTCATAGCGGGATATTAATTTAGTCATCTTTGAAAAATCACGATTTCCTAGGTGTTAATCCAATACTATAAAATTACAGTTATGTCTCTTTCAACCAGTTCTAGGACTGGAAAATAGTGAGATCCGCTGGGAGAATGCAGATATTTGAAGTCTATATTACTGATTGGAAGATAACCAGTTTGTATAAATACAAACCACTGATCCCAAAAATTCCTTATTGTTGTTGTTGAATGATAGCAATTCCAACGACCAGAGTCATCAAAGATCAATCGAACGGAGAGATCAAGTTTTGTAAACGTAGGATAGAACTCACACTAAAGCATTTTCAGCCCAGTTTTGTAATTGCAGCCCCAAATACAGCCTGGATTGACGTTTTTTATTTGCTGTTTGTGTACAATGAGAAATCGCGTCCGTCCAATCTGTTTTACATTATAATTAGATGTTAACTGCCTAATGATTGTGTCGTTTAACTGGCTTGTATGCCTAGGTAATGCATCTGCACTACTGTATGCCTTCAGAGCTGTCCGGAGAATACCTTACCTGCATGGATGTATACATATATATATATATATATACATCATTTACATATGTATGTATGAGTTCCATTTTGATTTGTTGACCAGCGTTTAGTTGATATTTGTAGCCAAACAAATTTACGAGCTCCTAGGACTCGTAAATATAGCTTGTCACATTTGCAGTAGGAAGAAAGGAAAAATTATCTCAAGAAAGTAATTCCTTTTATATAAGTAAGAGTTTGAATAAAAACATGATGTGTGATATTTCGTCAGAAGCACTTGAGTGTAAAACAATTTGAATATCATCGTAATAAGGCACATACAATTTATATTAGTTGGCGTGGTCCCGAAAAAACTTGTGAAACTAGGTGAATTGTTCGCTATTTGCCGTGACGTGTTTGCCTGGTGACACTGATAAAATATTTACTCTGTAGGGATATGTTCTGTTATTTGAAGTAACTGTAAAAAAATAGTTATTTTTGTGTTACTCTTCCATCATTGATATGTATGGCGATTGTTGAGTTGCCGTCATCGTCAATGGTACCATGTGTAAGTTGTAAATAATTTCGGGAGGATAACTCATTAGTGATGAGAACCTCATTTGTCGTGATGTATTCTTATTGCTTGTCGTCATTAACAAGTTGTGTATCGGTTGACTGGGAGATGGTTGGAATGACTGTAAAATATCAGTGAAGGGTGACAGTCTTCCGTGGACTAATTGATTATTCAGTCGTGGAAAGATGTGAGCCGTCAAGATAGGAATGACAACAGTCATTAACTTGTTTCCCGCCTTGTGACTGTAAATACTTTCATTTAATAGAATTCTACGGTATTTTTTCATGTTGTTTCCATTTTGTCTCCATCTATTAAATTGTTCACTTGGAAATATGGGGCACGGCATCATCAAATGCTACACAATAATGTTATGTCGTTTTCTGTCGGTCACATGCAATTCCGTGCTCTTGTAAATGAGACATCTGTTGGATGACATGATCATATCACCTGTGAGGTAAAAGACCAGTGATTAAAGTAGGATTCAAACCTATATCTCTGGTTAGGAGTCCTTACATCAATGATCCATAATTCGTCATTCTCTCTGAACTGTTGTGCATTAGTTCCGAAACCAGTTACTAGATTTTTAACCAGTGAGTTACAGGTTGCTATGTGGTGTTATTGGTTCTTATGTGATATGTATGGCTCGTTGTCTAGCTGCTGTTAAATTACTAACATACAAACTGTTACCTTCAACACTAAAGCACTGTTCTTCCCTGAATATATGTATAATTCCTTTACGTTCCCAGTCGAACATAGGGCTTCAACCTAGAGGCTTGAAGTTTCGGTAGCAGTGATGTTTAGTTTTATGGGATTGGTTTGCTAGCCTCATGCCCAACCTCCCCTATTTACCAGTCATATTTCTGGCTTAGTGAGGTAAAGGAGTGCGTCGGCTGGGAATCAAACGCCGAACCATCTGCGTGGTTGGCGAGCATTCTACCACTGTGCTACCGACGCACAAAAGTGCATATTCAAAAAAAATATTTATGAAGAAAGTATTACAGTAGACACTAATTTTACTCAGAAATCGATTTTCACAGTGAAGTCTAGTTTTTCAGTGCACATTCCTCGCTAAAACAGAATTCAAAGAAAAATTAGTAAGGTTTACATATGTGGACTACGGAAATAGTGAAGTTAGTTTCATAGCCTGTTTTCATGCTTAGAAACATTCTTTTTAAAGAATTTTGTTGACTGCCTTTAGCTACGTAATAATCAAACTTACGACGAATAGTACTATCATATTTGTCCTCCTTTTTATTTGTCTTTTCCATTCTTTTAAAGGGATTTGGCGCTTAAACTGTTTCGAGAAGATGTGATTACTCGAGAAAAAGTTCAGTCCCGTCTTTTATGTCAAATACTGGAAGAAATACACAAAGAAAGATGTGGGGAAGCTATTGATCGACAGCTTCTGCGTACTGTCATTAGAATGTTAGTGGACTTGAAGGTAGGTTCTCCAGCTTTTATTCAAATAATATTATTAAAGGCTTTTTTAGGACTTTTTCTGTTAGTTCTTAGTGGAAATACGTCACAATATTGTAAATATGATTTCTTGTATAATCTTTAAAACCACTGACAGGCTGTACGTGTGCAGAGTAAGGATGCAATTTATCTGCTCAGACAGAAGCACTTAAAACGTCTACATGTTGCCATATATTTAGTATCCGAATGTTTATGATGAGCTTCCCGGTGGCCATGCCTACAAATCCCCCCGTAAACGTCATTTATTTGTTAACTACGAAGCTCAATGTTCAATGATTAATCAAATTCTGCATGTCTCTTTACTATTATTTAGTTACATTAGGAACAAATAAGTAATATTGTGGATGTCGTCTCGTGTTTGAGTGAGTGAAGACTAGTTCGATAATGAAGACTAAATTCAATTATTGGATTTAGTGTCAGATGTGTTTCTTGTGTTCCACCGTAGCGCTTTTTTCTCACTAACCGATAACTCGTCACAGAAGTAGGGAATTTAATGTATAGAGTGACAGAATTTTTAGTTGAATCGCTAGAATGCGTTTCAAAGTACAAAGTAACATTAGGTTTAAATGTTACCTCATCTGATTTAGGATCTGTTCTCTAAGTGGATATCTAGCCAAAAGTGCCACATTAAACAAGTACTCTATTGGAACAGTCGAATTTCTAGTTCATTATAACCGTGTTAATTACTGACTCTTCATGTTGTGTGTATGTACTTTGGAGTTTCCCTTCATCTCTTTCCTTGTTATAGTGTTTCCTGTGTCTGTCTCATCAACAGCCGGTAACATTCGGTGTGTGACACCTATTAGTAAAGTCTTAACCATTTTATGAATTAAAAGTCAATCTGAACGAAGAATATTCTTTTCAATAAGAAAAGAATATTCTTCGTTCAGATTGACTTTTAATTCATAATATGGGAATTTTCCACACTATCAAATCTTAACCATTTGTTTTGTTCTTCCCACCCATAATTTTGGACAATGGTTACGATTAATTCTACTTAGTTTGTATTTAAGTAGCTGTTAGGCGTCAAGTCCGTAGCCTACCAGAATCAGTCATTTTATATGTAGGTCAGTGCAAATAAGTCTATAAACATCCATTAGCTCTAATCAACATTCGCTTAAAGTTATTGACTATCATCACCGCTATCATTGAAAGAGATTTAGTCTGGAAGTAACGTTTTTATTAAAATTTAGTTCGTAAACGATTGTCTCCAAAGGTTAGGTTTTGGCGAGATGTATGCAGTGTGAGATTGATAGTGGGTGAAGGTTGCGAATCTTGTTGTTTTGGCCTTTTGTACTGGTTTTATAGCTAAGAACATGGTCCTATCAGACTGAAATGTATTATGTATCATGTCGCACTTCCTGACTTACATATCTGGACTCGTCCAAAGGGATTAGAACCTTTAGTCTCTGTGCATCAGCGAGTTGTTTCGTCTACTATTCGTGGGTTATTTCAATACCTGGAATTGTAATATGGGTGATATATTCAGGAAGAATCGGATATATTTCTTTACAAGTCCCTGTGGAATTCCACTAAGTTTGAATATTTTTTTAGCCTTTGAAGTACTTTTTCAGGAGATTTATTATCTCCATTGTAATCTGTAGGTTTGTGTACTCATTTTACTTAATCTTGATTATTTTTTATTCAGCTGTATGATTCAGTATTTCTTAACGAATTTCTGCGTAAAAGTCAACAGCTGTATACCTACGAAGCAGATTCTCTATCTAGACAGCTTAGTGTTCCTGAATACCTACTTCATGTAGACAAAAGGATTATGGAGGAGGAAGACAGATTAGTTGTATATTTAGATGCCAACTCTACCCGCAGCCTCCTCATTTCAACGCTAGTTTCAGAATTGTTAACGCGCCCATTAGACTATCTATTGGATAATGGTTTGGTCAATCCTTTAAAAACCAAACAAACAGCACAGTTATCGTTATTCTATTCCTTAATTTCAAGAGTTCCAAATGGTATTGATAAACTACGGACACACTTCCGTAATTACATTATACAAATGGGGCGTGAAATAGTAGAAAACCCATTACAGGACGTTGAAAAGGATCGTGCTATGATTCAGAATCTACTGGATTCACGTGACTTCCTTTCAGAAATTATAGGGTCATGCTTCGCTAATGACTCCAGTTTTATGCGAGTTTTGCAAGAAGCGTATGAAGAGTTTATCAATCAACGTCCAAATAAACCGGCTGAATTTTTAGCTAAATATCTTGATTCCCACCTTAGATCAGGAAATAAAGCTCAAACAGAAGAGGAGTTAGACAAACTAATGGATAAAGTAAGTGTTTTTCTTGATTGTCCATTCTTGGTCACTATATATTTCGTTTGACGTTATACGTAGGGAAGTTAAGACTATCCGGTATCATATTGTCTCTGCTGTTACAGTTTGTTAATTTTTGTATTCTGCCTATATTTCACACTGCCCCCTCCTAATTTTTCCAGGGCTACTTAAGAAAGACTGTTATACTGCAAAGAGCACTAAAAGCCGTCAGTAATGCGAGTGGGGTGTTGCTAAACCAACTCGTTAATACTTTTGTAGGTAAAGATATAGACTCCTGCAAGGAATTAACAAATACTATCTTGTCAGACTCTGAGCATCTCCATACACAACTCTCTCCTTGCATCTCATCGGGTAAGAACTAGGAGCAACTATATAAGACTGTATGCTTGGACGACCAAGTCCAAAACCTCTACAATACCTTATTTCTCATTTTACCGGAGTTACTGATATTTGTTATGACAACAATTCTATGGTCAAAAATTAGGTAGGTGATAAAAAAATACTTGAATGATCCAGGTCCTGAGTTACCCTACATAAACTTACATTTTTGAATATAACCCCATCCACTTAGATTGGAACAACCAAGGAGTTCAGTCTGCTCTTACCACTGAAGTACATTGTTCTCATTACTGAGGATAATAGTTAATACTTCTTGATATTGCTGATATTCTTCTAAGTGGGTAAAGACAATACTCAACTTGGCTTAAGCCTGTTGTAAATCAGATGTCCTTTAATATGCTTGTAGTGTGGTGTGATTATAATGCAAAGCGTGTGTTTTTTTCTTAAGATTGTTAACATTTATTGTTATTATTTGTTGTACACTGAATAAATAACTATCTTTTCGAAGTTCTACGTTTCAAGAACTCCCTTAAATTCTGTGAAGTCACTGGAGAAATACTGAACATGTATTGAAAAGCAGAGGGGGTAGATAAGTTTAAACCTGCAGGGGACAAATGTGTTCTGCTTTTTGCTTTCTCTTTGTGCAGTTATCTCTGAATGCAACTTGCTGGTTTAAGTACTCAACTTCCAGCCAGTGGGTTTCAATTTCGAATCCGGCTCTTGAGCAGTATCATCAGCCTTCACTCAATAAGTGCGGTTCATAGCATACTTCAAGAGAAATATGTTCCGGGGAAGTGAATTCTGATAATTATGAGCACAACCTTCAAATGTACACTGTAATCCATGTACAGTAGGTTGCTCCAAGGTAAATTGTCTGTGAACGACAGCAGTTAGAGTTAAATGTCATCTTGTCCTTGGTTAGTGGCTTTTATGCGTCCACTTAATTGCAACACAACCAGTAATAATAAGACTTCCCGGACAATTTTTATGATTCAAAAAACAATCTAAAACAATTGATTTCGTTATATTATCTCGTGGTTTTCTGCTCCAGACAACAACAATTAATGAATCAAGCCCTCTCAAATTTCACAGTCACTGGTAAGGTGTTAGGTTGTCGTTAGCAATATAAGCTCCAATTGTCTCCTAGAGGTGAACTCTTTCTTTAACGATGTGAGTTCGGAGTGTTAATAAGAAGCCATAATTGGAAAATGTTCATCATTGAACTAGATCGTATTTAATGGTTCAGTCTTTCCTTGACTAGAAATGGCATACTTTGATTTAAAGTGATAGTTTGTCTCTCTGTGTTTTCCTTTAGTCTTGTAATTCATGATCAACTTATTTGCAATCTGTAAATGTCCAATTTTTCGATCAGTGGAAATCTGCTTTTTCAACATGTTGCCATTGAGAGATACATGCATATGGCGTATTCAAGTTAATACTTCACAAAAAATTGCCTCTCAAAATTGTTTCTTATATGTTAATTTCAGGCTATGATTTTGTTCCGTTTCATTGATGGAAAGGATATATTTGAAGCATTTTATACTAAAGAATTAGCAAAACGTCTTCTTCTCAACAAAAGTGCATCGGTTGATGCAGAGAAAGCGATGTTATCAAAACTAAAACAGGGTGAGTTCATCGTTCGCTGGATTATCAAGAATCACTTTTCTTCTGTAATTTTAGTTATTTGAAATCTGTGCACTTCTCCTATCTTTCACCATCATTCTAAGGGTTGAGAACACCGTATATGAATTCACATAAGCAATTACCTATATCTCACTACTCAGAATGCCGTCACTGATCCCAAGAATATTTGAATTTTCTTCTATTTGAAATGAATAGCAATTTGACGTAAAGTCTTTGTTAAAATATTCGCATATTCACTAACGTCTACTTCTTAACATGTCTCTATGCCTAAGGATGGCATTTAACTTGACTGGTTTAAAAGTCTGACTATTTTTTGTTGTTGGAATGAGTAGTCACTAGATAGGGAAGTATTGTGTTTCTCCTCAGCTTCTCCTAAACCTATCCCTGGCCCCTGGTAAGCCCGGAAAACGAGACGTAAGGGTAGCAACCCCACTCCGTGAAAACAACTCTATCGTTACCGAAAATTCAAAGCCTTGTGCCTTATTTTACACTTGGAATACAAGCAGTGAGCAAAGGAACGACGAAACGCTGAAATTATTCATGTCAGGGGTAGCAGGAATCTAGAAGATGAAAAAGACAGTGTAGTAATAGAACTCTTATTGGAATTAGTTTTTGGATTAAGTAGATTTTCTTAACCCCTTTAATACTCAGTTTGTTTGTTTGTTGGGTTCTCTGTTATGTCTTCTCTTATTGATGTTGTTTACAATGTTATTTAATGAAAATCACTCCAGTGTGGAGCACTGTCTCATTCATTGATGTAGGCACTCAACAGCCCACCATCGTTTCATGGGTTCGAATCCCACTCCACCTACTGAGGTGTGGGCAGCCAGGTAATATTACTAACCAGCACACAATTCGTGTAGCTTATTTTCACTTTTGGCCCAAGTGATCTAGCAGATAACTCTTGGCTCTCACGAACAACCTGGTACGTCTGAGAGTAGGAAGACTTCCACCCCCCCCCTTTAAATGCTCTCATGTGAGGCTACATGTTCATAGCTTCCGCGAGGTAAGTCCTATTCACTGCCTTCACGCAGCGGAAATATTCCTCACAAAAGTGAAAGGTTGAATTTGAACATCTGTCGCTTACAACCGGACTGGTGAACCAGCAGGTATTCCTAGGGGAGCTGGCAAACCCTGATTCAAAACCTACTGTGAAAAAGGACTCCATAACCCGAAAGAATCGAATGGCGTATGGACCTGTTTCGGTCATCATCAACCATGGGAACGCTGCTCCATTGCTTTATGGATCAGACTTCAAGTCAAAGGTTGGCAGGATCGTCCCTTAAGACAACCAGGCGTTTTAGTCTAGGCATCCGAGCAGTATCGTAGCCCTTGCACGAACTATGAGATTTTGTGTGGCACATCTCTTGGTGCTCATAATGTACCAAGTTTGTGTTTTAATAGTAATGACATTAATAAGAGGCATCTACATGGAAATGGAGGTGGTTTCTGAAAATTACTCCGTTTTGATTTTCTGTATAACTAGAGATGATACGCTTTGTGCTGAGCTTCTCTCTCCAACGTTGTTGACATCACCAGCACTAACTTCATTCTGAGCTACAAATCTTTCCTGTTACTCCTTTACACCAGTGCAGGTACGACAAAACCTGAAGTCACTAAAATAATGGTCACTATGAAATATTCTATAATCATACTGTTGCGTTTATGGTTTTTTCTGACCGATCAACACAGTATTTTTACTGTATATCAAATGACACTTAGATATGCTGATTGGGTAACATTTTAAGAATTGAAAATGATACAATCTCTCTTTTGTTTATCACATTGGAAGAACTGTTAAGTCTTTACTTCCTTTTTTCTTATCCACCACTATTATTATCGTTTTTCGTATCAGACTGCTTATCAATGTGATGTATTCCCGCGTTTACTATAAGTGAATTTACTACATTTTATTGAGACGGATGTTCAGTTTTATTACAGTTGAATATAACAGCAAATTCCACACTGCCTAGTTGTTATTGTAATTTGAAAAATCAATTGACTGGACAGGAGTTTTGTCACGAGTCGACACTAAGAAACAAGGAGCACTGCGCACTCATTTCATGCTAGTTTAGGACTCGTCAGTAGTTTTCAACCCAATGGTCATCAGCTTTTTGCAGCCTTCAAGTCGTTACTCAGCCGTTTAGTTGTACTTTACTGACATATATTCGAATCTCTGTCATTGAATGATATAAGTACCTTTCAGTCCCATTAATTAGTGACTGATATTAAACCAGACTCCTCTTAATTCTCTGTTTACGACTCCCCTAAGTTGTTTCGAGAAATCCAATTTGAGGCAAGTCAGTTGTGATAAAAGTACTATCTGGTGGCTTTTGTAATAAATCACTCATTTAATAGACTAGTCGGTCATTTGATCGTGCATCGTATCGTAGAATGACAATTCTTATGAATTGCGTACCATTACATGACAATTTTTCACTGATTCATCCCTCATGAAGAAATTAATCCGATTGTTTGCTTTTGTTTGAATGAACAATTCATAGTAGGTTTTGCTGTTCTGCCGGTAAACTACGTTTTCACTCAACATATTTTTTTCTCAAGTTGCCTATTCACTTTGCCCTTGTAATATTTCAGAATGCGGGCCGAATTATACACGCAAAATGGAAATTATGTTCCAAGATATTGAATTAAGTAGACAGTTGAGCAAAAATTTCCGTTTTTCACTGCCTGACAGTTATGCGATTGAATTGAGTGTGAACGTCATCTGCCCAGCATCATGGCCACCGTATCCACAAACAACAGCCAATTATCCTCCTGAAGTGAGTTTTATACTTGAAGATAGTGTTTTTTACTTATATTAACTCGGGAAGTCAAGTGAATATTTCATATCCATATTCTCCGTAGTGAACTATGATTCGTTGGCTCAAGCACCCGCTCAGCTTTCAGTCACTGAGCTGTGAGTTCAAATCCTGTTCCACACCCGTCATTCTGGACAACCATTCACAATAAGTGTACCTCATACCCTAGTACACGAAAAACCTATTCTATGTAACTCATCTCTAACTAACTCCTTGATGGGGTTGAATAAGTAGAAGTAAATTAAAACAAGCCAGAAAACTAAAACATATTTCATTGAGTTTTAGTCAAGACCTATATTAAAGCAGTATCACGTTCAGCTGAATTTAGTCATATTTTACTGCATTGAAAAGTATTCACTTAATAGCAGATGGTATGGCATTGTAGTAGAGAATATAATAATGTAGATAGAAGTAGAATAAAAGGCTAGGAAATTATACTGTTCAACTTCACTAGGTGGTACTTGAAAAAATACCAACAAAACAAAACTGTCAACTACCAAAGTTTCCGCAACTTTCCAGTTAGTTCACCCACCCGCCTAATTAGTGGACAATACACACTGAGGTGAGTAGAAAGTATGTTCAGATAGATGATGCAAAGTGATATCAGAAACTGAGGCTTCATAACGTTGTAATTGTTTGTCAGCTTAACTATATAGCGTTATTGGCAGAAAGTAAACCGTAACTGGTCCATTTCGGGACTAGCTGCTCATCCGGTATACATTAGTGTCATTTTCATGTTAAAACTAGTTTTTATCTCAAACAGTTTCCTTTTCATTCAGTAGATGATGTAACAAAGTAATTGAATTGGTTCTGTTGTACGCCTAATCTGTCTATCTTTTAAATATTTGTAGATGGTATCGCTTCGAGAAGAATTTACTCGCTTCTATTTATCGCATCACCAAGGTCGAAAATTGATCTATGAGCCATCATTAGGAATGTGTGTTGTAAAAGCGAAATTCCCAACAGTAAGTTGGTTAAGTTATAAATGGTATTTTCAGTATCTGCACTCCATTGAGCAACAATCGCTTTTCTTCTGCTTATTTTAATGTTCACGTTAAATGCAATAACTGATGTTATTGGTTTGAGTAATTTCACCTTCTAATTTTATAATTACCATACTTGTTAACAACAACATCTATAAAAATATCTTAAGTTATTGTATGTGTTTGAAATTAGTTACACCGAACAGGACTTCCATATAGAAGTCTGTCAGCCCCAACTTACGTAGGTGGATCGGGATTCGAACCTGTCACCTGTGTTCTAAATGCCTAGTTCCTAAGCCATCGAATTACGTTTCCTTAAACATTGTATGCCCTAACAGGTGGCTGGTAAGTGAAATTTGGTTGCTGAATAGTTATCATGAAACCTGTCATTCGCTGCGTCACTGATAGCTGTTGTAAGTCAATGGTATTAATGTATGATCTCCCGGTGTTTCATGACCAACTTTATTCAGTAAATGGTTGACTAGATAACAGGCATGTTGTGTTGTTCATCAGTAACCAATAAACGCAATAAGAATCATTCTGATTCTGACCAACTGACTTACTGTTTTCAACATACAACTTTGTACCGATATGCAACAGTTCAAGTCGCCACACTCCATATAGCACACAAAACCAGAGAAGAAAGTAAGAAGAAACGCAAAATGCAGACAGTAAACAGAGATTTCAGGCAAAAAGAATAGTAATAACAAAGAACAATATAGTTTTATTGGAAATTATAAGTCACAAGGAGTGGATGCATCTGCGCCATTGAGAACGATTTTGAACCATATCACCGATTGTCTCCAGCCATTGGGTTTTTACCATCCCGAGAACCGCAACCAGGAAGTCTACACCTTCCTACGTGGCTTAAACTAACTGTTGTAGATTTCATTGACTGGTGCCATGTTTTGGTTTGATCACCGGAGCTGTTTTCCAGCCTGACCCTATGTCAGCTAACATTGCCCGTCTAGGAAGGTAATGGCTAGGCATACGTAACACATGTCCTAACCATCTCAATCGATGTAATTTCACAGCCTCGTCGATTGATTTCCCCTCCTTACCTAGCACTCGATATCTAACCTCAACCACTTCAAACGGGAAATGGAACGCAAACACCTATGATCAAAGACAGCTAGCCTTTTCATGTCTTCAACTCTCAATGGCCAGGTCTCAGTATTGAAAAGGACGGAGCGGACTGTTAAGCAGTACACATGCCCTTTAGTCTATAGCCGGATATCACGTCTACACCAGAGATGGCGTAAACTGGTATATGCGAAATAAACCTGTATCCGTCCTGAGATTTCGTCAGCGATCAACCCGTTGGGGCTCAGTAATTTACACTCAAATTGTGAAAACTCAACGCTATATCATCTTTTTGGCTGCAATAATAGTATGGGTTCATTTTGTTGACAGCTGCCAAACTGTACAAAAACAATAGACATTCAGCAAATAGTCTGTTATCTAAGCAAAACGGAGAGGCTCTAAGGGAACTTAGAAGTAATGAAAGCTTAATTATTAGCAAATCTGATAAAGGCGACGGTATAGTCTCACTGGACAAAAGTGATTACGTTGAAAAAATGGAAGGTATTTTGATTGATCAAACTAAATTCCAATACTTTGGTAATGCCAAAGACCTCAATGTAAAAGCGGAAAAATTAATGACAGATTCTCTCAAAAAACTGAATCAAAAAAGAGTATTATCTGCCATGTATGAAGCCAGCGGGTACCAACACTTCACGTCTTTAGAGTCTACCTAAAGTGCACAAACCGAGTCTTCCTCTTTGCCCAGTTTTAGATATGTATGTATGACTCTCCATTTCACGGAAGTGAAGATTCTGGGACCTATGTGCAAAGAAATTGTGCGACATAGAATGAGTGATGTCTTCGGTTTCATTTATAAAATATCCGAGACCAATGTTAGTGATGAACGTATGTTATCCATGGATGTATCATCACTATTTACGAATGTACCACTTGTTGAAACGGTAGATTACATTTGCCGAGAAATCACCGAAAGGAAAATGGACTTAGGAATTCCATTGTGTAGCCTCAAAGAATTACTCCTTAAATGCACAGTGCATGTGCATTTTGTCTTCAATAATTCATATTACCGACAAACAGATGAAATAGCTATGTGTTCACCATTAGGCTCAATCTTAGCTGACTTCTTCCTCACAAAACTTGAAAACGGAAGATTGAAAGTGTTATATCTGCACTGAACTGAATAAACCCTGTCGCCACTTTGTTATGACTGCGCTGCTATGGGTAATGAATTCGACTGGTACATCTATGTCATTGTACCGTCCGATTCACTGAGCCACGCAGATATCAGAAGACAAAGGATGGCCTGTGACTGTAAGATACTGTATATTTTAGGAACAACACATTTAAACATTTTATTTACCACAGTGCAGTCGGCTCAGAGCCGTAAAAATGGATTGTTCTTATTGGCTCGCAATGTCTGTTCCCATTGGTTGGCAATCCGACAAAGACCAGGTGAGACAAACATGATAAATTGGTCATACACTAAATCACAATATGCATGAGAAATGATAGATCAACATAGCAACTTCATCACAAGATAATCACACAATTCTTGAGAAAGGATGATATACTATTTTATGCTGGTTCCTATCAGGAAGACATCATCAAGAGAGTTGGATATATATTACTCGGTATTTCTATGATGCATTTATCTTAATTGATGGGATCGCAAACATAGACGAATTATTGATGAAATTCAGTAACATCCACCGTTCGCTTACTTGTCAAGAGGAGTAGGATAATAAATTACCTTTTCTGGACGACCTACTAAGTAGGCGAGAAAATGGGTCACTTGGGTGAAGCGTGTATAGAAAAAGCAAATTCACGGGGCAATACACACACTACCTTAGTTACGTGTCCATTAAATATAAAAGAAATATTGTTAAGTGTCTTACTAGCAGAGCAAGAAAGATATGTACTGATGACCACTTACAAAAGGAATTTGAATACATTCATGATTCCTTGACGGAATTGGGCGATCCAATTAGTTTCATAAAGAAGCATATGGAAACATTAAATAGAAATGACTATGACTTCATGGAAGAAACTGTTATCTGTTAAGTTACAATTTGAAGAGGACTTATCAAGCGAGATTTTGTTTCGGAGACTAGCTAAAAGTATGCAAAGAACGTTTTACACAGCAAACCTATATTTGTCATTCTCTAGCTGACAGATGATTGGGAATCAAACGAAGTATAGGCTAGACGATTCCATATGAGTTTGTTTATTAGATATATCACACAGTGAAACAGTATTATTTACTGGATGACGTTTCGAACAAAATTTATTGTTCATAATCATGTCAATTGTAATCACACGACTTCGAAACTTGAGTTTTATAGTTTTCTTTGTCTTCTATTTGTTTTAGGGGTAGTATAATTTTCCAGATATCGGGGACAGGTGATGAATCATTCCTATTACATGTATTTGCAGTTGATTCGATAAACAAAGCCTCTGTTATCAATCTCTCCCTCCACCCTGTGACATTAGATTTTAAAACTGTCATCCTATCCCATCCTATTGTATGGTTGTGTGTAACTGCACGTAGTGCTATAGCTGAACTGTTCTCTAGATTTCTTATCTTATTTGGGTCAACCAATCTAGATTTTGCTAAGTTTTTATCTTCGAAACGTCATCCAGTAAATAATACTGTTTCACTGTGTGATATATCTAATAAACAAACTAATATGGAATTACTTACTACCACAGTGCCCAAGTTTTACACATATATTAATATAGGCTAGATAGTTTTGCGACATCTATTTGTATTTATCGATTCAACTGCTCCTGTGGAGACAGTTATGTTGGGTGTTCTACTAGACACCTCCCATCGTGGTTTGGCAAAGGACAGACGAAAACAATCCGTAGCTCACTTTTGTCACATTTAGTTAGTAGTGGAGAAAACGAGAGCTTTCAAAGTAATTAATATCAGTCATTTATCTGGAATTACTACTACTGCTACTAAGATTACGAACTTCCAAACGAAATTTTGTATTTCACTGTATTCATATGTGATATTCATACGCGACTGGATTCAAGGTAGAACTTTGCACAGATGTGCAGTAGTTTGAGTTGCCACACTCCATGTAGCACAAAAAGCAAGAGAAGAGAGTAGAGAGAGATTCACAAAATGGATAATAAACAGAAATATGAGGCAAAAGGAATAATAATATCGAAGAACAATATAATCTTATTGGATATGATAAATCGCGAAGAGTGGATGCATCCACACTATTAAGAATGATTTTGATCCATACTACCGATTGTCTCCAGCCATTGGGTTTTTACCGTCCCGAGAACCGCAACCAGGAAGTCTACACCTCCCTACGTGGCTCGCTTAAACTAACTGTTGTGGATTTCATACGTGAATAGAATCTCTTTGATTGTGGAATAGTAATTAACTGTTCGAATCGACCTCACTTAACTAACAAATCCTGACACTAAGTGGATTCAGTTCGGAAGTAATCATACTTGATGAAATAGTTTATTTACTTATTATACATGATATTGTAGAAGGAAATTCCTTTGTCATTTGTATGTAGTCATATATTAAAGTAGATTCTGACATCTTTCTTAAAATTATTCAAATATTGCATATTGCAGCAGCAAATATTGCATTAAAACTCAGTATAAGCTCTTACCGCCAAGTTCTCAGGATTCGGTCATATTCGATTGAGTAAACTGGGTTTTCTTAAACTTTTAATGTGAAAAATTTAGTTTTTACAATTCTTTCAACAATTTCTGACATTGGTCCTTTTCAGTCATATAAGACTTTCGCGCATACTGTTCTATTGCTTGATGCAAAAATTTCACCTTTCGTAGTATTCAACTCTATTGAAATGTATATTTTTATTTCATTTTGGTACATTTTGTTTTACTAGACGCCTAACCTCCGCAAAGAATTACAAGTGTCTGAATTTCAAGCCTTAGTATTGCTACAATTCAACCAGTCTGATAATGTACCGATCACTTATGCTACGATAGCTGAAAATACAGGTATTGAAGAAAAGGAATTGAAACGAACTCTGCTGTCATTAGCTGCTGGAAAGGGACAACGTGTATTATTGAAAAATCCAGCCGTGAGTGAGATTTTTTATATTTTTTATTTGTGTTACTTGCTATCATTATTGTGTTTTCTACTTCACGTCTCCATAATACGTTTAGGTTCATGCATGAATGCATCAAAAGCCATTCGAAGTTTTATTAATAAAGAATAATAGTTTTTCAAGTATTGGTTTTGTAGGGATTTTCTTTGATTGCATTGGGGATTTCATCATGAGCTGACATCAGTTAGAGAACCACTGGAAAACCTGGGAGTACTGGACAGCTGTTTCTTCCTAGTTTGGGACTCTTCATCAGTACGCACCCACCGGGATTTGAACCCAGGACCTTCTGGTTACAAGGCGAGCTCGTAGACCATTGAGCCACTGGGACCTGATCATCGAAGAAGACATTGCGAAATGGTCGCGCCATGTCGTGAATTGGCAGAAGTTAGAATTCAAGGACCATTCGATAGGGTCCCAGTGGCTCAATGGTATACGAGCTCGCCTTGTAACCAGAAGGTCCTGGGTTCGAATCCCGATGGGTGCGTGCTGATGAAGAGTCCCGAACTAGGAAGAAACAGCTGTCCAGTACTCACAGGTTTTCCAGTGGTTCTTTAACTGATGTCAGCTCATGATGAAATCCTCCATGCAATAATAGTTTTTGTTTTCTTAAGCTATTCTTGTACTAAGCTTAATTTATGAGAGCTTGTAATTATGTCCACTCTCTTAAGCTGAAGCAGATGTAGTGACGTTTAAATCTAGATCTTAGATGGTTGGAGGCAATTGTCAATCGACACATTGCACTAGTTACTAACTAGTGTCTAATCAAAGTAAATATAGACCTCTTCGTCTCTAGTCAAGTTCTATCATATATAAACCGCATCTCCACTAGGGACACCTAAAGTTTTCTTCACATTTCTTATCGTCGCGTATTCCCACTACGCATAACTTCTGCATGTAATCTTATTTCCAATCTTGACATTTAGCCTAGTTGTGGCATTGGTTATCGGTATGATGGTCTACTAATCCAATTTTACCTCCTTCTTGCTTATGATGAGTAACACAAATTGTCTCTTATGACCTGCTGATTCCTCTTGTGTAGACATCCACCATCTACGGCTAACCACTTGTAGTTGTTATTCTTTTCTCCATTTGTAGGTAAACATAACTCGGATCTGGCATTTAATTTTGGCACATGAATACAAAGTTGTATGACAAGTCACCTGTGCTTTAATTATAACCAAGCTTAAACTCTATGTTATCAAAAGTAACTGTGAGAAAGGAGAAAGCTCTAGGCAACTTAAATCTCATAAGCATGGCCTGGAAACCTATAATCATGTCAGGTTTTGTTTGTCATCATGATAGTAAAAAGGACATGAAGCTGAGTTTAGTTTGTGCTTACTGTACACTTGCATTTCAAGTCATATGGAGGAATGGATTAAGGCTTCATATTATGTAATGGTAATGGAAGTACAATAACGTTACTTAATTTAGGAATTATCATTACAAGATTGGATTGTTATTGCCACTAACATTTCAACAGGATGATAAAATGATTTCGAGGACATATTTTTAATTTTTACTATACAATGGTTGTAAACATTTTGATTTTGATTTGAGGATATCCTAGAAGAGTTATTAGGTGATGAAATGACACATAGGTTAGAAAACCACTAAAACTGAAAGGTCCTAGGTTCGAACTCCGGTGGGTGCGTACTGAAGAAAAGTCCCGAACCCGGGCGAAACAGCTGCTCAGTACTCCCATTTTTTCCAAGGGTTCTTTCACCTATGTCAGGTTTTGATGAAATCCTGTAACCAATGAATTGTTTACGAATCAACACTTGAATATTAGCTGATGAACCTAATTTTATGGCGTTATGTTGTATTTTCATATTGTTCTCTTCATTGAAATATCTGGTACAGTACAGCATTAACACTGGTGTTGGATATGCACTTTGTGAAGTCTTATTTATGTTCTTAAGTGTCTATTTTATTCTCTTGTATTTCATTTCTGAATAAACATTAGGAGAGTGGTAACGTTAGAATGCTTTTTGTGGGGATCGCCTTTTCTCATCACTTTCACTGTCGAGTTTATCATAAACCCACCTTAGAATGCAATTTATTTCAGTCAATATATCACGGATTAGAACCCTGTTTCGTTTGTCTAGCTCTGCATATTTTTAATGAAGTTAGCTTTAGAGTACTAGATACAACGAACAACTCTGCGTAGATTCAAATTTACGAAATGGGTTACATATATTTGGTCACGTTTTCGTGTAAGCCTCTTGGTTAGAATATGCAGAACAATTTAAGTCTATACTTCAAGACAGATATACGACTTAAAGTTGATCGCAATATTACACAAAAGTATCAACCCCTTGTCTTTCTCCAAATACGATACACGAGCAGTTCTTTAACTGTATTTTGACTGTAGCTCCAGTTTTCCTTTCGGCGTCTAATATGACTTTGTCACTGGTATTCTGTTGTAACAGCCAAAGGCAAGACACGGAAGTAAAGATGTATTTCAATTTATATTCTTTAACCAATCACTGAGCGTGTTATTATTTTTGTTTACATTAAACGACATGTTCAAATATATATATATATATATATATATATATATATATATATATATATATATATATTATCCTGTTGCTAATGCAGTACTAAACTGTGGGAGTGGTATTCAGACGTTAGCATCACCAAATACAATGATTCTTACTGTGAGAATGATATTCCGCTGGAACCAGTTGTTTGTATCATACCACCACAATACTACTGGTTATTGTCCCTTTCTATCGCTTTGTGTGTGTGTGTGCTGATGTAACAACTTGAACCAGCGGACCACAGTGCTAATTCCTTCTGTTTCTTCTTATGGAAGACTGTAGTTCAAATATGAGAACCGAACTCATCTAGCAGTCATCTAAACTTCCTAATGTAGAAAGACACTTTTGCAATATGAGAAACCTTCCCAGCTCCAAGTATCTTGCCGACATTCTCTGTCCTATTGCTTATTTTCGCTTTCAATGAAAGAAGACACGTTGACTCATTGGCTTCCCCAAGACTTTCCCCAGTCCGTGTCATTTCAGCGTAGAGTAAGCTTACTTTTCGTATATTGTTAGTGGGCTTTGAAGCTTCTGTAGCGACTGCGTTGATTTTCTCGGATGGGGTCGATAGGATGTTCCCCAACTTTCTCTCCATTTCCAGATTTAGGAGGGGGCTAGTGGACTACTGAACTAGACGATGTTATTAAGATACATTGCTGTACTGGATTCTGTTTCTGTCTTAAACTGGATGACTAAATACTAATTCCATCAATAATACTATATAGTCATTTTTCTATCTCTAAAAAATATTCGATCTCTTATATTACATCGTTAAGAAGAAAATAATTTCATCGTCTAGTTACTACGCGATAAGAATTTCATACCAATATACGCTTTGCATTACCAATTTCTCTTTTTTCCATTCCAGAATTTGGAAATTGAAAATGACCATGAATTTATCTTCAATACTGAGTTTTGTCATCGCCTGACACGAATTAAATTCAATCAGATACAATTAAAAGAAACTGTAAGTATCATATGTTTTGTTTGTTGTTACTGTTCTCCTTTCAACGTTAATTGTTCTACTTTACCTAAGATATGTGTAATATCTATCATAATTAAATAGAGGCAACTCTACAGTTATACTATTCACCAGAAATGGTTCGACTTTTCTTCTGTGTTTTATCCTGGACAGTATGTTTTTGCTTTGGTTTTGGTCATGAAAATAGCTGTGGTTCAGTGGTAGGAAGATTGTCAACAACCCGCGTGGTCTGCGTTCGATTCCCGACCAACTCACTCCTAAACCTCATTTAGTTTACCAACCAATAGAAAGCCTGGAAGACTGTGCGTGATGCTTGCAGCCCCACCACCTAAAATGTACCACTGCTACTGAAACTTCAAGGTTCAAACTTAACACCTTATGCTTCCCTCAGAATTCCAAAGAATAAAAAAATAGCTCTACATATAATCAGGTAAACAGATTATCCTTGTCAAAGGGGAGGTAATTGTTGAATTTGCTATCAGTTTTGGGGGTACAAGACAAGAAAACAGCAGAATATACCTATTTCGGTCGGTCGGTTTTCGACATAGAACTTTGCATCAATGTGAGGCAGTTCAAGTCGCCACACTCCGTGTAGCACAGAAAGCAGGAGAAGAAAGTAGGAGAAATGCATAATAATATAGACAGTAAACGGAGGTGTGAGACAAAGGAATAGGAATAACGAAGAACAAAAGTTTCATTGTAAATCATGAGTTACAAGGAGTGGATGCATCTGCGCCACTGAGAACGATTTTGAGCCATATCACCGATTGTCTCCAACCATTGGTTTTTACCGTCTCGAGGACCCCAACCAGGAAGTCTACATCTTCCTACGTGGCTTAGACTAACTGTTGTAGATTTCATTGACTGGTGCCATGTTTTCGCTTGACAGCCTCTGGCTCTTTTCCAGCCTGGCCCTATATCAGCTAACATTGCCCGTCGAGGAAGGCGATGACTAGGCATACGTAGCACATGTCCTAACCATCTCAGTCGATGCAATTTCACAGTCTCGTCGACTGATTTCCCCGCCTTACCTAGCACACGACGCCTAACCTCAATATTGCTCACCTTATTATTCCACTTCACACAGGAGATAGAACACAGGCACCTATGATCGAAGATAGTTAATCTTTTCATGTCTTCTGCTCTCAATGGCCAGGTCTCACAGCCATAAAGGAGGACGGAGCGGACTGTTGAGCAGTACACACGCCTTTTGGTCGATAGTCGGATATCGCGTCTACGCCGGAGACGGCGTAAACTGGCATATGCGAAACTAGCCCTCTGTATTCGTGCTGAGATTTCGTCGGAGATCATCCCGTTTGGGCTGATGGTACTTCCCAAGTAAGTGAAGCGGTCAACGTGCTCTACCACTTCACTTCCTATTTGTAATCTAGGAGTCGGCGTAGTCCAATCCTGCAACATTATCTTACATTTTACAGGAGCGAATCGCATGCCAAACATACGAAGATTGTTGCTCAAGGTGTTCAGTAGACTCTGCATTTTGTCAGCGTCCTCGCCTAGAAGGACTAAATCGTCTCCGCATATTCTAAGTCGACGAGATTATTCCCTGGTAGCAAGTCTATCCCTGAGTCGCTGAAGTGTGTTAGGGTTAAGTCCATTAGTACGTCTATGATGAAGTTGAATAGGAATGGGGATAATGGGCATCCTTGACGGACGCCACTAGTCGTCGCCACTTCGGATGACAACTCGCCATAAGCCCTCACCTGGCTGCATGAGTGCCTTAATCAGTGCACTGTATTTTCTTGGCATTCCCTTTACAGCTAAGCATCGCCAGAGAACCTCTCGGTCGACAGAATCGAATGCCGCCTTTAGGTCAAGAAATATAATGATTGTCGGACGCCGGTAGGAATGCCTATGTTCTAGAATCTGTCGAAGGGTGAAGATATGATCAATACACCCTCTACCTGGCCTTAAACCTGCCTGGTTTTCTCGTGTTTGTGTCTCCCGAGCACCACTTAGTCTACGCAGTATTATTGAGCCTAGGATTTTAGATACTATGTTAGTCAAGCTAATCCCTCTGTGATTATCACAAGAAGACTTGTCTCCCTTGTTGTATATCGGGATGATCAGTGACTTACACCAACCCGATGGGACTTCCTCTGATTCCCAGACGCTGCCTAGAACCTCAGTTAATGCAGACAGTAAACTGTCTCCACCGTACTTAAATACCTCTGGAGTCAATCCATCAGGTCCCACTGCTTTGCCTTGTTTCAGGTTAGTGACAGCTTCAGTAACCTCAGTTAAGGACGGAGGACCTGTGTCTATATCCCATTCAGGGAGGTGTTGGATGTCCGGCAGGTTAAGTGTGGCTGTAGGCCAATTAAACTGCTCCTCGTAGTGTTCTTTCCAGCGCTCCAGACGTCTATCCTGGGAGCTAATTATGGTGCCATTTTTCTCCGATATTGTTTCGCTTATCATTTGCCTCTTGCCACCTGTTTCCCTGATAAGCCTGAATAGTTGTCTGGTGTTGCCTATCGCCGATGCTTTTTCCATCTCTTTCGCCTTTGTCAACCACCACTGTTCACGGTCCTTGCGGAGACTTTTCGTAAGTTTCCTTTTGTGCAGCTTTCGCTCCTCATTGAATTCGGAGCTCGCATCTATCAGTTCGGATGAGGCAGTCAAAATCCAATGGTTTTTACTCACCTTTGGATTTACCTTATTCACACCTTTTACAGCTGTATCTATGGCTGACTGAATATTCTTCCAGGCTTCTTCAGGGTGAGTGCGGCTGTCGAACTCAGATATGTGTTTAGCTAGTTCTTCCTCAAATAGGGACTTAGTTTCCTGATCGAGCTGGGGACGTGATGGGTTTACCGCCAGCTGTTTCCTACGTCCGTTCAGTCGTAAACATACACGAGCGCGGACCAGTGCGTGATCGGTATCTACACACGTGTTCCAGAAGGAGCGGCAATCTCCTACCGACCCACGCCAACGATAGCTTATTGCTATGTGGTCTATTTGTGTCCAGCGTTGGTTTGATGATGGGGGTCGCCAGGTCAAACAGTGTCTCTCCTTGTGTTTGAAGTTAGTGCTTACAAGAAACAAATGATTATCTGAACAGAACTGTAGGAGACGGTCACCGTTGTCGGTTCGCTGGCACGGAATTCCGTATGTGCCACCGACATTTTTCTCAGATTGACACAATTTCCCTACTTGAGCATTAAAGTCACCAGCTAAAACGACTATATCTGAGCGTTTAGCCTTTCGCAGCAAACTAGACAGCTTTTGGTAGAACTCATCCTTCGTTTCATCCGAACTGCAGTCAGTGGGAGCGTAGGCGGAGATTACGAAAAGGCATCGGCGAGTAGTGCAGTCCTTTCTCCTTTTCACTGATCCGTTCAGACGGACAGCACACATTCGGGTATCTACCGGGATCCAGTCAAGTAATGTCTTTTCTGCCCTAGTACTCCAAGCTATCCCAACACCAGCTAATCCTCGTGATCTAGCCATCGCATCTCCTAACACCCTCAAGGTGAATTTTGCAGATTCATCCTGTTGGCCAGGTGGAGTTAGGTGAATAACCACACTTGGGTCTTGTATGCGTGTTTCTGAAACACAACATACATCAATGGCTCGGGATGTCACAGTCTTGGCTAGTGATGCTTGTTGTCCTATTTGGCAAAGTGTCCTAACATTAAATGCTCCTATATGAAATTGGTGGCGCGGCTTTAGGAGACTATCGATGGTGGTTTTTTGGCTTCCATCGTTATCAGTGCACACAGAGTGAAGAGGAAGTGAAGGGCCATCAAGTAGAGGAGTTGCATTAGTAGAAGGAAGGTAAGATAATAGAGATGAAGATGAAGACAAAGGTGAGTGAGGAATAGAAAGGTTTCGCGTGCACTTCGGATTGTGAGGGCGATTGTTACTTCCTGGCTGCCCACACCGTGGAAGTTGGTTGCGTGACCGCAGAGCCCAGGGGACAACTGCTTGAGGCCGGTCACACACGGCCTGTTTTTGTTTGTTCTTTTTTTATTTGGTGTGTCTCAGTAGCGTATTTATCACTTCTGCCCTGTGACACGGCAGCAGGAAGCGCGGTCGTTGTTAATCCGGGCCCCGACCGATCCGGCATGATATTTTGTGATTTTGTTTGAGTCATGACATTGGATTGGGTAGCTGCTTTTTGTCTAACCGCTATCCAAACAACCTTTCTGGCATGGTAGGACCTACAGGAACTTAAGTTCCAGCCAGTGTAGCTCGTTGGGTCATTGCGATATGCAAGCCCGACCACCATGTCAAGGTAGCAGCTTTCGGTCGGGAATATACCTATTTAGATCATGAGAAGAAAAAAAGAAGGTAGTAGTGGGAATAAATTTCTCTTAAGTCATCAATAAAAAAATACATAAGATAGCGGTGAGAAAGTTTCAGAACTATTTCCTGTCAGGGGTCAAAGTGTGGAAAATCACCAGAGGATTGAAATAAAAAGCAAAGAAAATAATTAAATGGGAAGTTCGGATAGAAAACATTTAAATAATGATGATTTTCTTGAGAAAATTGACCACTTATAGTAAGCACAAAAGTTCAACGTTATCTTTTTCGGTTACGTAGCATTGCCTTAAATATTTTGATTGCTAATGCTTGAACTGTACCCAAATGTCTTAACCTTACTTCCTGTTATGGACCTGTCGCCAATTTGTTATGATCTGAATCGCCATATGAAATGACCTAGTGGACTAATGCGTGAGTATAGTAACACTGATAGGCTAGATACGCCTATTCGTCACTAGTACCTTCCAGTTCACTGAGCCACGTAAATATCAAAAGACAGAATGATCTGTGACTGTTTGAGTACAACGTTTTTAGGAAGAAAGGACGTCATATTTATACATTATTAACCACATTAAAATCTGTGTAGGGTAATGAAAAATAAATTGTTCTTATATGTAGGCGATTTGGCTAGGTGCAGGGAAAGTAAGTATTCTGATTGGTTGACGACTGGACCAGGACCAAGGTAAGAGGAAGATAATGAAATTTCGCAGTCAGTCAAGGTCATCCGATCACAAATCGACTACTTTTTCAGGCCAATTCCTATCACTTCCTTTGACAGGTTTGATTGGATTTCGTAATTGGAGCCGCGTTTTGAGTTCACAAGCTGTTCATCTACTAAACCAAAGACACACTTCCATTCTCCCATTGCTAGTCAAACTCAGTAGTCCACATTAGCGCTTTTTACAAGCGAATGCGTAATACAAGGAATGTACTCAACTCTGTGGAAAAAAGTGAACTGATACACGCGTGTTAATGACATCTAATGCCACCATTTGTCATTCACATGCTAATCAAATAGTTTTTTGTAACAAAATGTTACTTAGAGACTGGTGACGAAGTATGTTTTACTGAACGATTTCGGGTCATTTTCAGGAGACTTTTAAAGACACTCATAACCCATAATCTATTCTATAGAGTAGTACAGACATGTTTAGTTTTAATTTACAAATACATTTGGTTCCCGAACACTGTTCACTTCCTGTAATTTATCCTCACAATTCAAGTCAGATGAATGATAACTATTCTTTTAAAGACGTATTGTATTGAAGCTTTAAATATTCGGATTATAGAAACTTCAGATAATATGCATCATGAAAGTGCTTTTACAGTGCTGTCTGTTCAGTTTAAACTGAACACGATTAATTATTTGAGTCGTATGAGGAGCCACAACTCCCTTGTTTAAGATCCACTTGAATATTGGGGCCTACACTTCAGCTTAAATGCACATTGTCTTATGGCAATTGTAAAACTGTTGCTATTCTATAGCTTACTGTCTGCTGTCAAAATCTAAACATTTCATAACATTCATGTTGAAGGTACTAGGATGCGTCAACTATTCAACCAGGGTAAACCGTTGGCCATGGCCGTACTGTTTATACCTTTTCACCTCATACATGTTAGTTTTGACACCAATCCTAGTTGTAATGGCTTCGATTATAACGTTCACCATGATAACGTGAAAATCAGCATAGATTGTTCACCTATCATTTTAACTCGGTTAAGCAATCTTTTTTCTATAGCATAGGTATTATTATAATGTATATTATAATGTTCATTTCATAAGTGTTATGCTGCTCACTTATTCTGATTACTATGAAATAGTTTGGTTTAAATGCCTTCAAAGCATAATTTAACTAGTATTCATCAGAATATTTTTCCATTAGCTACAGTTCAGGCGAAGCACTACATGCTGTAAATTATAAACTGCCAATTTGGTTTTTTATATATGTATTTAAAAAAAGAGTATAATATATTATTCTGAAATAATAGAGAAGATTTGTAGCTCAGGTGGATGATTTGCAATTAAAAGTGTTCTCTGAGCTGGTTGGTTTAGTTGCGAAGCTTTCGTCGTCCTTCTGGACAACATCTTCAGCGCCATATTTAGCACAAAGTGAAATGATTTAAATTTCTTCATGCGCAATGTAATTGCGTCTCCTGGTTACTATCTTTGTAAAGATATGTATTGACCACTTTCTATTGACTTGGATTTTAAACTTTTTGGTCACCTGATTTACTTTTTATTAATTGGTATATTTCATCTATATTAACGTGTTTGTTAATCGCATTTTCGCTTGAGTACCAGGCTTCTAGGAATTCTCTGGCACTTTTCGTGTTTCCTCTGTTTAAGATTTTGACATGATCCCAATCAAACTGATGACCATAATAGTCTGCATGCATTGATACTAAAGAATACATATCATGTCTTTTCACGGCTGATTTATGTTCTTGGATTCTGATTCGAAGGGGACGCCCACTTTGGCCGATGTAATGCTTGTTACAGTTCATACAATTTATTTTGTAGATGGTATTAATTTTATCCCCTTTTTCTGTTGGATCTTTTGGTTTGCATAATATCGAATTAGGCGATTTTACTGGTTTGTGTGCTATATCTATATCTAACGGTTTCAGTATTCTGGCTATTATTTCAGAGATATTCCTCATGTATGGTAGAATGAATTTTCTTGTGGTCTTTGATGATGGTTTCTTGTTGGTGTTTTGATTCGACTTTAAACACTTTTTGATGAAATTTTGTGGATAACCATTCTTTTTGAAGACCGTTTGTAGGTACTTTTCTTCCATTCTTTTCAACTCTGGAGTGCTACAATGTGTCTGAACTCTTTTAAACAATGTCTGCACACAGTTTCCTTTGTGAGTGTGAAGACATTGTTTAAAAGAGTTCAGACACATTGTAGCACTCCAGAGTTGAAAAGAATGGAAGAAAAGTACCTACAAACGGTCTTCAAAAAGAATGGTTATCCACAAAATTTCATCAAAAAGTGTTTAAAGTCGAATCAAAACACCAACAAGAAACCATCATCAAAGACCACAAGAAAATTCATTCTACCATACATGAGGAATATCTCTGAAATAATAGCCAGAATACTGAAACCGTTAGATATAGATATAGCACACAAACCAGTAAAATCGCCTAATTCGATATTATGCAAACCAAAAGATCCAACAGAAAAAGGGGATAAAATTAATACCATCTACAAAATAAATTGTATGAACTGTAACAAGCATTACATCGGCCAAAGTGGGCGTCTCCTTCGAATCAGAATCCAAGAACATAAATCAGCCGTGAAAAGACATGATATGTATTCTTTAGTATCAATGCATGCAGACTATTATGGTCATCAGTTTGATTGGGATCATGTCAAAATCTTAAACAGAGGAAACACGAAAAGTGCCAGAGAATTCCTAGAAGCCTGGTACTCAAGCGAAAATGCGATTAACAAACACGTTGATATAGATGAAATATACCAATTAATAAAAAGTAAATCAGGTGACCAAAAAGTTTAAAATCCAAGTCAATAGAAAGTGGTCAATACATATCTTTACAAAGATAGTAACCAGGAGACGCAATTACATTGCGCATGAAGAAATTTAAATCATTTCACTTTGTGCTAAATATGGCGCTGAAGATGTTGTCCAGAAGGACGACGAAAGCTTCGCAACTAAACCAACCAGCTCAGAGAACACTTTTAATTGCAATCTATTATTCTTTCGTACACAAGCATATATATGTATATATATTACAGGAACAAGAACAAACGGCTACTGAAGAACGAGTATTTGCTGATCGTGTTGCCCATGTGGATTGTTGTATTGTACGCATTATGAAAACACGTAAAACTATTGATCACAATTCATTGTTATCAGAGGTCTACAAACAATTACAATTTCCGCTTAAAGTAAGTTAACTCAGTTTATTTTAAAGCATGAAATGAAACCTTTAAATGTATATTAGACCAATTGATTACAAACGATTTAATTTTGCTGACCGATTATTATTTCCAAGTGTGGATCAAGCGAATTAACTAGGAGTTTATTCGTTACATATCTGTTTATCTTCATTGGCAATCTCACAATCGGTAACTGCTAAGTTGCTTCTCAGTTTTGTTTTCAATTTAGATGTCAGTTAGGGAACCACTGAAAATTTGGGAATACTGGATAGTTGTTTCGTTCCATCTTGGAAACTTTTGGTAATAAGCACCCATCATCCACTAGGTATCAAAGTTATTCTGTGAAGGATTTCAGCAACAATTCATGTTTATTAAATGTCCGTTTAGAAAGTTTTCCCTGCTTCGGCATGATTTGCCATTTGTGTTGCATATCTGGTATGGATTTGAGCGTTGCAGAGAAAGTAAAGGAACATAGGATAATACCGAAATAAAGAAGGGAAGCAATATCGTAGAAAATAGAATGATTGGTGCTAACTAATCTGTTATCTTAAATGGACTAGACAGAACTGAACTCATTAAAGTACATTGACTTACTTGAATGATCTATTAAATCAGATTTTAGTGACTATACCTATTATGTCACATTATTTCTCGAGCGCTGGAATGCAAGCGTTATGACTGCGTATTGCTGAGGTGTTCCAAGCAAGAACGAAATAGCTGTTCAGTACTTCGTGGTTTTCAGTGGTTTTGGAACAGAAGTCAATGCGTAGTCAAAACTGAAATATATCGTATTAATGATCACAACCTTATTTTAATGTTATTACTCAGTTTTTCTCATCCATTTGTCTTTTATTTTACGTTTATAGGCAAGTGATGTGAAGAAACGTATTGAAAATTTAATTGACCGTGATTATATGAAAAGAGATGCTAGTAATGCTGCCACGTATCATTATGTCTCCTAGTTGATGAAATAGGTTTGTCTACTCCAAAACTTTCATCTTCCTAAGTTTCCCTTCTTTTAATTATTTTCCCCCAATAGAGACACCGCATATGTGTATATGTGAAGGAAGAAGTCTAATGACAGGAAATCACACTTATACACTTTTTCTCATTTCAAGTTATTAGTTAACTTCATTTCTCTTACATTAACTAACTAACATAAGTTGATGTATTTCGAAATGAATAAAAAATTACTGTTCCTTTTGTGTGTTCTTGTTATGTACAGCAGATTTTATCAAATTAACTTACACTATTCACTTTGTTTTTTTATCATGCAAATCTTTCATATTCATGTCATTACTATTTTTTTTTCTTGAAAAAAGAAAGTAAGATGAGTTCGCTTGCCTGTTCGACGATGTTTTGTATGGTAGATAACTGTACTGCCTAAATTTGAATTTTTATGAAGTAAATTATCTGTGTGTTCAGTCATTTTATTGCTTAGGATGTTCTGTTTATCGCAAATGAAACAAGATAGAGAGTTAGACACGAACTTTTATAGAAAATCTATACATTTCAACCGATATTTGGATTTCGGCTCAGTTCACTGTATTTCATTGAAAATAGGATTAGTGCGATGTTTAAACGATAGATTAACGGCAGAAGACAAGAGACTTAGTAACGGACCTTTTATTAACGAAAAGAACATAATGTTTGTACATTTTCAGCCACATTTAAGGTCAGTGGATAATAAACTGTTCTAATTGGTTGCCGATTTACCGAAGGTTAAACCTTCTGGCTAAAAGTTGTCCAATGAGAGTATTTCCCGACCATGACGTAAACTAAATCCAGACCTGAGGGATAAACGCTTCTACATCTACAGTCACTCACGTAAAATGTTTTCGATTTTGGCTGCTTCCTATAAGTCTGCGTCTGCATACTACTGGTAAATCTTGTCAATAGCTCCCGCCGTGATAGGGCTGCTGCTGGATTCAACATAGAACTTGGCACCGAGGTGCAGCAGTTCGAGTTGCCACGTTCCAAATAGCACACAAAGGTAGACAGGAAAATGAGTGAAGAGAATCAATAGAATTTAGATAAGTATAAGAGTGAAACAGAATGAGTAATGGTAGAAAGGCATATGAAGGTTAAAGAGACTGAATACATCTGCCCCATTGACAACGATTTTGAGCCATGTCACCTATTGTCTCCAGCCATTGATTCTTAGAGTCCCGAGGACCCCAACCCGGAAGTCTGCATCTCCCTACCTGACTCAGTTTAACTGTCAGGGATTTCATGGCCGTGATAGGGCGAAAACTAAATAATGCCAAAGCAATAGGATTCAACTCCTGTCCAACTAGTTTGTTATGATACTGAATGTTTCAAAGATTCCCATATGATAATCATAATGGAATAAATTCTTCACTTGGAAATGACACAGTCTAAGGTGAGAAATCACCACACTTTCCTATGAAAACCGAAATTAATATCTAGTGTGGTTGATACCACAAATGAGATGGCAGTCAAGAAAGTAAGCGAAATAGCATGGTACTGTATACTGCCGATTGATTGATTGATTGATATAATTATTTGGGGACTACTCATACAAAACAGTATTAGTTCTAGTCGTGATAAACATTCCTTGGAATTAGTAGTTTTTATCGTCCATTAGGTAATCTGATAATAAGCTAGTCTGTATAATGTAGCATACAGCTTTTAATAGGCGATTACTTAGAAATGTTTATTTTGATACATAATGCTATTAACAGAAGTTAAGGAATCTGAAATGATATAGACATCTAGTTGACGTATTATTGAGATAAGCAGGTATTGTCAGCAAGGATTAAATGTATTATGAAAATCTGGTTCATGATAGGATTTCAACCAGCAGTCTATGAATTATTAGTTCAGCCCTCTGCTAGCTGAGCTGCGAAAGTTAGCTACTAATCAGATCACCCACCAAAGACGATGTCAGATATCTTCACTATCAATAAACAATATATGTCATCTAACTTTTATGTATCACTACGACCTCATAAACTCTGCGGTTACATATTATAACCTTCCGCATCTATTTCTCCTTAAATAATCAATGAGTATCTCCTACTCTTTCTCAACACTCAGATTTGATAGAGTAGTAGTACACGAAAATTTGACAAGTGAATCAAATTTGTTTATCTTTCAACTTCTCAGTTAGTTAACGGTAGTAACTTCTGTAAAAGTAAATTTCGAGTCCAGCTGATATAGGGCCAGGCTGGAAAAGAGCTATCGGCAGTCAAGCGAAAACATGGCACCAGTCAATAAAATCTACAACAGTTAGTCTAAGCCACGTAGGAAGGTGTAGACTTCCTGGTTGGGGTCCTGGAGACGGTAAAAACCAATGGTTGGAAACAATTGGTGACATGGCTCAAAATCATTCTCAGTGGAGCAGACGCATCCACTCCTTGTGTAGGATTATTTTTGTCCTACAGATTTAGTCCTTCCTCAATACTGACGATACAGAGTCTCGGCTTAGCTATAGTTAAAACAGAATAACTTGACTTTAACTTTATCTGTTTCTAAAACATAAAATAAATCATAAAATTACACCAAGAAAAATGTACAAATCCACCGTCATTACAAAAAACGGACAAAAACGTACCGAACAGTATTGAAGGTACGGACAAAATGAACAGTCAATTAATTACATGTATATGCAAGTAGAGTGACAGACAAAAAAGAACATTCAAGGTCACCATCACGTGGTGTGAGTTACATTAATTGGCCAATAATCGCGACAAAAAAGGTCACATAATATTGATTGGCTGCTTATCATACAGTCTATCTATCTTTTGCGATTAACACTCCCCGCGAACGATCACCACGTTGACCTTTCGTACGCTTCTTATATCTTGTTCCATTTCTTGAGTTGAAGTTTTCAAACAAACTGTCCTGACGTGGCCATCTTGGTCATAGTACATCTGCTTAACTATAGCCTTTCGCCAGAGACCTCTCTGTGTGTCAGCACTGTTAACTAAGACGAGATCATCAGGTTGTAGGTTGTGCTTTATATCCAACCACTTAGATCTTGTTTGCAGCATCAGAAGATATCCACGTAGCCATTTATGCCAGAGCAAATCAGTCAAATATTTTGGAAGTAGTTGACTATAGTGTTGGGAGAAAGCATATCCATACATAGCATTCGCTTTACCTTTGTAATATTGTAATTTTCTTAAGAATTCACCAATTGCTGAACGAGCTGACGTTAAAGGCCTTTTTGGAACTAAGGAAATACACAAATCAGATGCATTGTCCTCACCGACTACTTTATGCGTACGTCCCATAGAATCGTCAGCTTCAATCAAAACTCGCATAATAAGCACAATAATGTGCTTGACACCATGATCCAATGTCATCAGCATTTTCTGCTGGAGAATAAAACTCCATGGAAGTTACAACTGGAGGAATCATTGACAACCAATTAATATAGACTGCATCTGGGGCATTGCCTTGAGCACAGTCGGTATTCAGACCGAACTGCTCCAGAACAATAGGTAAATCAGACAAATAAATTCCAACGCACTCAGCTTGACACTTGTCTATTGCAGATGAAAGGTTTGAAAACTTGCTGTCATACGTTCCTCCTGCTTCACACCAACCTTTTACAGGACCTCCATTTATGACATATTCAGTAGTTTTCGTGTGTAAATTTCGTTTTCCATAACAATCACGCCAAAACAGTTTACCTGAACCATATCCCATCAGTTCATGAAGTCCAACTTGTAATTCAAAGGAACTTTCAGCATGTTCCACGTACATTTGCTTGTCTTCATTACGTAGAAATTCTGTTTTAGGATCCTTGAAACAAACACTAAGTACATTATCCAAAGAAACATTTTTAAATCCATCAACTTGTCGTATATCATCATAGTTAGGAATATTAGTTCCAACAGGAATCCCAGCAGTTGCAAACGTCACTACATCCAAACTAGTAAAGTCTGGCTGTGAGAAATTAACTTTTTCAAACGTAGAAGGCCATGGTAAATTTGTTAACAACCTTTCAGCATTATTCACAAGTCGTTGGAATTTTTTAGACACTGATCTATTTACGACAGCGACAAATGATTCAAACTTTACACGAACGCCAAAGGGATCACGGTATGACTCTGTAAAACCAATATAGTTCCCAACAACAGGGTTCTTATCTTTAACCCATAACCTGAAGGCATCTTTGTGAGTGGCTACTGAGCCAGTAGTGAAGCTTTCAGCATACTGATGCCACATTTCTGATTCGATTTGGTTAAGCGAATGTGCTTTGAAATCTATATAGCAATCGACTAGTAACTTCATCAGCTCACTGTAGTCACCATATTCAAGCTGCAAAGATGTGTCTGAGGGAAGCGAATCTCTTGACTTCTCACGACGTTGACTTAGAGGGATTTGCAGGTCATGGTAACGTTGGGCTAACTGTCTTTGTTCTTCTTGGATAATAGGAGCGTCGAAATGACTTTCTGCAGCAAGCGTGTCAGCCTGGACTTTGAATGCATCTATACGTTCACGATGAGTAGCTACATCAGATTCAAGCAAGTTGTGCCGCTTTTGTGCGTTCATCACACCGTTTAGATCACGAACGACATCCTCTAAGGCTATATGAGCTTCAACATCATTCAACCATAACTCGACATCTTCTACTTTGCGAGCGAACTGTTGTTGCCTACTTGCTTGATCTAAATTTTTCTTCTTGTCTCCCATGGCATTTACGAGATGAGACCAAGTTTCATCCAACTGTTCAATCTTTACTTTTATTTCTGGCGAGTTGTAGTGGTTTGCATTTAACAAATCCTGACCTGTCTTTTTAATATCTTCAACGCGGGATTGGTTCGCTTGTATTTCTACCTCAAAACTCTGATGCTTCTGCACCTTTGTTTGCAAATTCGTGGAGTCTTTGTAACTTTCATCAAGTGAATTTTTAAGTCTTCCTGATATCCATGACTGCATTTCATCTGCATCTCTATCGAACATTTGGTAATGGTGGGAATCTTGAAGA